CAACTGAGCCGAGCAGCTTGGGGGGGGGGGCTGGGGGGGGGACGCCATCATAGACTCTAAGTGTGTCCTTCTGTCTCCTTACGTCTCCAACAGCAGGGGGGGTCCAGCTTTGTCCCCGTCAAGGTGAGTCGCTCCGCGCTTCGCTCCATGAGCAGGAGGGACGTCCTGATCAAACGCTGGCCCAGACCCCTCCACTGGGAGTACTTCCGCTCCCTGCTGCCTGACGTCAGCATCACCATGTGTCCCACCTGCTTCAAGGTACGCCCCCCTGTGGTAGGACGACACGTTCCTCCAACGGTGCACCACCTACTGGTCACTTTGTGGGCTCCCAGATGTACGTCCTCAGGGTCCATGGTCTTCACACCTGGTCCCTGACCGTCAGTGTCATGGTGACGACGCTGAACCACAGGAAGTAAAAAAAAAAAAAAAGAACCTGTGGCTGATGATAGTATTCTCTATACAGTAAATACTTCAAAAAGTACTGATTGGATACTTGCAGATACTGCGAACATCATCTTTAAATGGTGTTGGTGAGTATTTGTACTGTGACCTCTGACCTCTGTGTGTCCTGCTGCAGATGTTCCACAGTGAGGACTACGAACTCCTGGTGCTGCAGCACAACTGCTGTCCTTACTGCCGCAGAGCCATCGATGAACCCAACTGACCCGCGGTCCACGCAGGACCCGCAGCTGGGACCAGTCTAATACCTGGAGCGTCCGTGTTCTCCGTCAGCCCATCAGTCCAGTCCTGGATTATGGGAATCAGATTGAAGCCGATGACATCATCACCTGAGAAGGAGGATTGTTGTACAGTGTAAAGTAAAAGATATTTATTTTTTAACACTCGGTGTCGACACAGTCGTGGACTGAAAGTTTACCTGCATTTTTAACATTAAACAATATTTATATGTTGCTATTAGGTCTGTGTGGAAACAGTTACAGAAACTGCAGCACATCAAAGATTATTGATCAAAGTGACGAGGGACTAGAACTGAAATATAGAAATCTGTGTGTGTCCATATATGTATATAACCCATACATATATATAACCTATACATATATATAACCCATACATATATGGACATACACATATATGGACATGCACATATATGGACACCCACATATATGGACATCCACATATATGGACATACACATATATGGACATACACATATATGAACATACACATATATGGACATACACATATATGAACATACACATATATGGACATGCACATATATGAACATGCACATATATGGACATGCACATATATGGGCATGCACATATATGGACATCCACATATATGGACATACACATATATGGACATACATATATGGAGGGGGGGTATGTCATCAACATGATAAGGTCTCTATTGTTTATGCTAACAAGGGAGACGCCCCCCGACCCCCCCAATAAGAACATTACTACATATTTTTAAGTAAATAGTGCATTTCCTTATTTTTTATGTTACTTCTGATCAAAAGTTTACCAAAAAAAATCAAAAATGATCTGTCAATGTAACTCAAACAAAGTTAAATAAATAAGTGAAAAATAACTTGTAAGTCAGTATTTTTTTTCATTTTAAATATTTTTTTTAATTTTTCATTTAGTTTAAGAATTTGTTTTTTTTTAATTTTTGGTTTTGGTGTTTGAATTTAAAAAAAATATGTCATTTTTATGGGAAACGAAGACTTTTTCGGGAACTTATTGCTATAGTATTTTACGGCGATCAAAAGTTGACATACCAAAAAAGAATATTTTTTCAAAGTTTTAACCACAAAAATGGACGTAGCTAAGTATTTTTAGGCAACTGAGTGTATTTTTAGTCATTTTTGAGAAACTTTTATTTTCCGAGATTTGTTCAGGAACTATAGTTATATATAGCTATAGTTATTTTACTGTATTCAAGTTGACGTACCAAAATGTTATATTTTTTCAGACTTTTAAACACAAAATAATCACTTGGCAGCATGTTTTAGGACCTAATCTTGCATTTTAGTGCATTTCGGGGACTTTTTATTTTTTGAGATTTTTTCACGATGGTAAGGCTATAGTAAGGCGTGTTTTGGGTGTTTTTTGAAATATTCATAAAAAATACTTTTTGGAGTTTAAAACACAAAATAATCACTTGGCAGCATGTTTTAGGACCTAATCTTGCATTTTAAGGCATTTCGGGGACTTTTTATTTTTTGAGATTTTTTCACGATGGTAAGGCTATAGTAAGGCNAAACATGCTGCCAAGTGAATATTTTGTGTTTAAAACTCCAAAAAATATTTTTTATGAATATTTCAAAAATCACCCAAAACACGCCTTGTTTTGGGTGATTTTTGAAATATTGATTTTGGAACGTTTTAAAGCCCCAGAAATGCCTTAAAATGGCATTTATCGACCTCCAAGTGACGTCCAATTGACCTGCTATAGTTATTTTACTGTGTTCAAAAGTTCAAAATTGTATCTTTCCCGAATGTTTCTCATAAAATTAGGGGATTTAGAGAATATTTTTTAAAATTTATTTAAATAAAATTTAACCAATTCTCGCCAATTAAATCCATTTTGAAAAATATTTCCAGAAAATTATTTTTCGGTAATTTATTGGAAAAATCCTGATGTCAAGTAGGTCAGTTTCATGCATTTTAATTCATTTTCAGTATTTTAAACTTTAGCCTTTTTCGGGAATTTAATAATATTTTAGGATACCTCAGATCAAAAGTTTACATTCACAAATTTGATTTTTTTTTCTAACTTAAGCATAGAATTGTAAACATCTACATATTTTAAGATAAACTAATGCATTTTTATTCATTTTTGAAGACTATTTCAGGAATGTATTAGGATAAATACATTTTATATTTTTTCTGACATTTGAGCATAGAAAAGTACATTCCTACATATTTTTAGGCCAATTGGTGCATTTTTACTTAGGTGTACGTCTGCATTAAACTCTGCTGAAAGATGAAGCTCAAGATATGGACAAAAAACCAGTTGTACCTTTGCACTTTGAACAGTACATTTGTGCTCTCCTTCTGTCCTCCTCCGCTCCTCCTCCCCTGCTTCTCTTCTGCTCCTCGTCTGCTCCTCATCTCATTCTGATGATGCGGGGAAGCACATGTCAGTAATGCCTAGGTTTGAATAGCAAGAGCTGCAGGCAATTATCTTAAAAATGCTTAACATGCTGCGCAGCTATTTCTGGATTTTCCTCCCATAGTGTGTGTGTGTGTGTGTGTGTGTGTGAGAGAGAGAGAGTGCATGAGTGAGGAGCAGATACGATTGAGTGTCTTAATTCCATCTCTGCTAACTCTTTGGTCCACGCTCATCCCTAATCCAGCGGCGTGTTAAAAGGTATCTCTCCTCTACAGAGTGTTTAAGAGTGGAGACAACATCCATCCCTCCATCTGCTCCACACAGCAGACCTCTGAGATCTCATCTGGTCACACGTACCCTACGACACCCACCGACCATCAACACCATGAACGGCACTGAAGGACCCGACTTTTACATCCCCATGTCTAACAAGACCGGTTTGGTTCGCAGCCCCTTCGAGTACCCTCAGTACTACCTGGCCGAGCCCTGGAAGTACTCTCTGGTGGCCGCCTACATGCTCTTCCTCATCGCCACCGCCTTCCCCATCAACTTCCTCACCCTCTATGTCACTGTCCAACACAAAAAGCTGAGGACGCCTCTGAACTACGTGCTGCTCAACCTGGCGGTGGCGGACCTCTTCATGGTGGTGGGGGGCTTCACCGTCACACTCTACACTGCACTGCATGGATACTTCAGCCTGGGGGTCACTGGCTGCAACATAGAAGGATTCTTTGCAACTTTAGGAGGTAAAAGAGGAAAAGGTTTTTGATTAATGAGACAAAAACAAATGTCGTATGTTGAATTATAATGTCATAATTGTGACATCCTGTCTGTCTGACTGTCTGTCTGACTGACTGACTGTCTGTCTGACTGACTGACTGTCTGTCTGTCTGACTGTTTTTCCAACTGTCTGTCTGTCTGACTGTTTGTCCGACTGTCTGTCTGTCTGTCTGTCTGACTGACTGACTGTCTGACTGTCTGTCTGTCTGCCTGTCTGACTGTCTGACTGACTGTCTGTCTGCCTGTCTGTCTGACTGTCTGTCTGTCTGACTGTTTGTCCGACTGTCTGTCTGTCTGCCTGTCTGTCTGTCTCAGGAGAGATCGCTCTCTGGTCTCTCGTGGTTTTGGCCATTGAGCGCTACATCGTGGTCTGTAAACCAATGACCAACTTCCGTTTTGGAGAAAAGCACGCCATCGCTGGTCTTGCGTTCACCTGGATCATGGCGCTGACCTGTGCTGCCCCCCCTCTGTGTGGATGGTCTCGGTTTGTGTCCCTCTATTCACTTTAACATGATGTATATGTAAAATAATGACACGAACCAGAGGTCACCGACCTTTGACCCATGAACAGGTTTAATGTAGGACAAACTAAGAAGACAGAGCTCATGTTAAAACAAATCTAAAGACAAAAGATATGAATTTAAGAAACCCCACGATTATTGAATTTATTAAAAAATAAATACAATAGCATTTCCTTAAATGTTATGTCAGTGTTGTGTCAGTGTTGTGTGATGAACTGCTGGTGTGTGCGGTGATATTAGCCTGACATTCTGGGACTATTTTTACCCACGGATGCAGGTACATTCCAGAAGGAATGCAGTGTTCCTGTGGGATCGACTACTACACTCCTAAGCCAGAGATCAACAACACTTCATTCGTCATCTACATGTTCGTCCTCCACTTCTCCATCCCCCTCCTCATCATCTTCTTCTGCTACGGCCGTCTGCTGTGCACCGTGCGGGCGGTGAGAGCATTAATAACAGCGACACGTCATCACCTTACAGCACCGCCACCAGAGAAGAGAGAGCGTTATTGGCTGAA